AGATTGTCCAGTGTGCAGGAGAGCGCCTGAGACATCGTTGCACAGAAAATGGTAACGCCAGACCAACAGGGACCACACTGACTTTGACACCACTGAGGAGTTGGTTGCACAGGCAGCGGCCCAGTGGGAGTCGGACCCGTCCTTGTAGCTGAGAGGAGTGCCGTCGAGAGACCTCCCCTGCCCCTCCTTCGAGGACCCTCTCTCGACCCCTCCCAACACGTATCATGGCACCTCTCGGTTTTCTGAGTTTTGTGTTCTTCCAGGTCAGGAGCCACCCTACCTGTTTGGAGACGGCTCGGAGGCAAGTGCAGCAGCGACCCTGAGACGCCGAGGACTGCCCCGCGCGCGCGCGCCCGCCTACGCGCGTGCCCCATCGCGGGGACTCGTCCTCGGATCAGACTTCCGTCAACTCTGTTTGTTTGTTTGGGACGCTCGTCCTTTCATGGGTACTTCTGGATACTCCTCCTCCTCCTTCTCCTCCTCCTTCGCCTCCTCCCCCTTGTCTTCCTCCTTCTCCTCCTCCCCCTCCTCTTCTTCCTCCTCCTCCTCCTCCTCCTCCTCCTCCTCCTCCTTCTCCTTCTCCCTCCCTCCCTTGCCTGCCCTGCCACAGACTCGGGACATGGGCCGCGCGGTGGAGGGAGGAGGAGGAGGAGGTGGAAGAGGAGAAGGAGGAGGAGGAGGAGGAGGCGGAGGCGGAGGAGGAGGAGGAAGAGGAGGAGGAGGAGGAGGAGGAAGAGGAGGAGGAGGAGGGGGAGGAGGAAGAGGAGAAGGAGGAGGAGGAGGAGGAGGTGGAGGAGGAGAAGAAGGAGGCGATTCTCAATGTGTCCTCACCCGATGTTCTCCTCGTCCTGGCCGCGTCTGAGAGGAGCGGGCGCGTGCGCGCGCGTTGCCCCTCGTCGGGGCCGTCTGTCGGCGGCGCGCTGGGGGGAAGTGGGACGGGGCGGGCCTTTTCAGGAGGCTCGGAAGGCGTCGGGCCTCCTGCGAAGTGTTTTGGGCTTTCCACGAAGACGCAGGAAACTCTTCGGGAGACAGGGAGGCAACTGAGAAGCCCCACCGCCTTCTCCTCGCCTTCCACCTCCTCCTCCTCCTCCTCCTCTCCTCCTCCTCCTCCTCCTCCCTCCCTCCTCCCTCCCTCCCTCCCTCCCTCCCTCCCTCCCTCCCTCCCTCCCTCCCTCCCTCTCCGGGCGGCACAGGCTGCCCAGAGCCGGCGTTGCCAAACAGCGTGGAGCCATCGTTGCCCGAAGCGGGGGCCCGATGTTCGGCAACGCTCGCCAGACAGCTTCTTCCAGAAGTGTCGGCCTGAGAAGGCCTGCTCCTTTGGACTTCCCCCCCGGGCTCGCCGCCGGGTCTGGGGGTCTGAGGTGGCCCAGCATTGGGTTCCGACCAGCAGGAAGGGGCAGGTTCGAGGGTCTGGGTTCGGGAATGTGTTTTGCTTTTTTCGGCCTCCAGGGGCTGTTTTCGGGCCCCGGGACAGTGAAAAATGCATCCGCGTCGGAAAACTGCACCAGATGGACCTTGGGAGAGGTCCTGGGACCGACTTTGAGCGGATTGGGGCGTAACGTTTTTCGCCGATCGACCTGTGGAGATGAAGCCAGAATAATGAAGTCAAAGGCAGATAGATCGAGCTTAATCCTGGCACACCCAGGAAAATCCAAATGTCTCCAGGGAAATTCGGAGTAAATCGTGGGCGCCCCACGTGCACGGGATGGTGAGCCGTGGAGCCCGTGGACACTTCGGAGTGGTTCAGCCTTTCGCAGTCGCGGCAGCTCCCCTGGACCCATCCCATCCACCAGGCAGGTTTGCGACGTTACCTCGGCAGCTCAGCCCTCCTAGCTTGCATACGCCGTTGGGACGGCCCTGGGCCTGGCGCCCCACTGGCGACTCGTCCATCGTTCACCTCGCCTGAGCGCCTACCAGGCACGTGGGACTCGCAGGCATCTGCGCACACGTCCTCGCGCTGTCTGCGTGGGTTATGCCTCACGGCATACACCGAATTTCCTGGCATGTTGCTAGGCTGCACGTGCCTGAGCTTCCCTGGATGCCCTCAGCCCGTCAGTTTTCCCGCGCAGCCCCGCTGCTGCTTGGTGAGTGGGCCGGCCGGCCTGCGGCGCGTTCTGTAGTTAATTAGGCCGTTACCGTGTCCCGGAACGCTTCTGACTCCGCCTGCGCTTTCACTGGCGGACGCGACCGAAAAAAAGTATCCCCACCAGGAGTCGCGGCCCGACAAGTGTTCGGACGGCTTTCGACCCGCCTCGCGAGCCTGTTGACCAAAAAGTATCCCCACCAGTTTAAAACCTGCCGTCTTTCTTCCCCCTCTCTGGTGTGCAATTTAGGCTCCTGCTGGTTAGCTGTAGCTTTGGACGGCGCGCGGCCCTTCCGCTTGCGCTCGCGATCAAAGTATCCCCACCAGCCCATCCGGAAACGATCAGCAGGGGAGTTGGTAAATCAGGGACGGATGGAAGCATGCAGTTGCGCGGCCGTCTTCAGAAAAACAAGAATCACACATAGCTTTCCACATCGAAGTTTAAGATGGAAATCAGTGCAAAGTACGACGTGGTGTTCCTCGTGGTAAGCGTCTCTAGCGCAGGTGGCTGTATCCACCCTGGGCCATGAGAAACCAGGATCACAAATAGCTTCCCGCGGCGAAATTTAAGACAGAAGCCAGTGCAAGATACGTCGGGGTGTTCTCTGTGGTAAGCGTCTCTGGCGCAGGTGAATGTATATATTATTCGTCGCCCTTGTCGCACAGTTGAGCATGGCATCCCCGTACGCATCGTTGATCTCTGCTCCCGCACTGAAGTTGTTCTTAAACTCTCGCGCGCGGCGGCTGGTGGTGGTGATGGTGGTGGTGGCGGTGGTGGTGATGCTGCTGGTGTTGCTGCTTGTGGTGTTTTGTTGCCCTCTTGGAGCCATCTTGGAGGAAGTGGTGGTGCTGCTGCTGCTGGTAATGCCTGGGGCCATATTGGGGGCAAGAGGAGGAGTACGAGGAGGAGGAAAGGGAGGAGGAGGAGGAGGAGGAAGAGGAGGAGGAGGAGGAGGAACAGCATAAAAGGAGGAAGAGAATGAGAAGGAGGAGCAGGAGGAGCGCGGCGCGAGGAGGATGAAGAGGAGCAGGGAGGCGGCAGGGAAGAAGCAAGAAAGGAACGGACGATGACAAGGAGGACGAGAAGTCGGGTTTTGGGCATATGTCGTGGTGAGGGGTTCTTCGAAGACTCGTGATGCCATTTGGGCGCCATCTTGGGGTCCTGTTTGGATTCTCTGGGGGCGCCTTCTTGGGTCTTGGGGCTTTTTTGAGGGGTCTTGGAGCCCTCTTGGGCTCTTTGGGGGGGTCTGGGAGGCCTCATGGGGCCGTCTTGGACCCCATCGCTCAGAAAGAACGGGGTCTTAAAGTTAGGCCCCCCCCTCGGAGGCTCAAAAGGGTCGTCTTGGGGCCCTCTTGAACCGCTCTTGGGGCGCTCTTGGGGCCGTCTTGGGGCCCTCTTGGGCCTCTCGTGGGGCTATGTTGGGCCATCTTGGGGCCATCTTGACGCCTCGGCAAAACACATTTTTTTCCTTGAGTTTTGAACCCATTGTGGCCTCTTGGAGGGGTCCTTGGAGGGCTCGGAGGGCACTTGAAACCGTTTGGGGGCCGTCTTGAGGCCTCTTGGATGCGTGTCGGAGGCTATCTTGAGCCGTCTTGAGGTATCTTGGGCGATCTTGGAGGCCATCTTGGGCTAGCTAAAGCCCTCGTGAAGCTATCTTGGGCCATCTTGGACGCTTTAACCCCTCGCGGGGGAGCCCGTCCAAACCCAGGGAGGGGGGGGAGGTGAACCTCCCGAGCAGGGAAAGGAAGGAGGCTGGAAAAGGAAACGTTCTAGACCACCTGCGCCCAGAGGGCTGGTGGGATTCCCCGGCGATAACCGGCGTTCCCAGGGAGGGGGGGATGAGGATGGGGCCGGTAGCGTCACGATTCGCGCCACGCCGTCTGGGAATGTTTGGGAGTCACCAAAGACAGTTCGGAGGTCAGCACGAATCGCGAGATCACCTGGATGAAATGGTGGGGTGGGGGCGGCCGAGGCCGGTAACGGCCGCCATTGCGAAAGGTATAGGAACGTCCCTTGAGGGCTTGACGACATTTCGCCGATCGGCTCGTGGGGGTCAAGCAGGATAAAACAAGACAAATACAGATAAATCAAGTTGAGTCTAGATCTTGGTAAATGTAAATCGAGATAAATCCAAACGTCTCCAGGGAAAGGTTGAGCAAATCGTGGGCGCCCCAGCGCGAGTCGAGGGACGGCAGAAGTCCTCAAGCCCTTGACGAGAAGTCCTGGTCCCAGACCCCCATCGCTCTTCCTGGAGATCCAAACCCCCTCCCCGACATCGAGCGTCTCGAAAGAACATGACGGAGGTTTTTCATCGTGGTCGGCCTCCCAGGACCCTGACCGGGCCTCGGAGCCGTCAAACAATTACACGGAATGCAAAATTGGTTCAGGGGAAGCGGTCGAGAGGTCGGAGCCCGTGTCTCGAAAAAGTCAAGACGTCGGATGTCTGGGCTCGCGTCGTGAAAAAAAGTCTTGACGGGAGATGTTTCGTTGTTTTCGGTTTCTGGAGGCCTTTGCCAGACTTCGGGGCTGTCGGAAAACGGCTCAGGATGAAAAGCCGGTCCCCAGGAAGGGGTCTAGACCTCTGGGCGCCCATTTTCACGATGCGGAAAAGCATGACGTCGGAGGTCCGGGGATCGATGTGTTCGGACGTTTTCGTCGGTGGCCACAGGTTCCAGCCGCGGGACGATTTCCGGCAGCCGTGCCTCGCCGAGATCGTGCCTGGGGTGCCTGGATCGTCCCCGACGGCCGCCAGCAACCCGAGTTTTGACCCGAAAGTCCAGATGTTCGACGATCTTATAGACAGATGTTCGACGATCTTATAGATTCAACCGACGATCACGATTTCGGACCTCGTGGGCCATTATCGGGCCCTGGGGCCTTCAGAAATAGATCCAGGACAAAAAGTTACCCCTGCGGAAGCAGTCGGACCTCTAGGGCCGCGGATTATAAGTTTGGTATCGGTGCGCACGTGCGCGTGTGCTGGAGTAAAAAGGATATAAGCATAAACGTAGTTCCGAACGTTTATGTTTGTGCCGATCCTTCGTCCTCTAATGTGCGCGTGCGTGAGCGCGCGCGCGCGCGGTGCGCCCTTCGCGTGCTGCGCGCGTGCTGCGCGCGCGCCTTTGGCGCCTGCGGCGATGACCCGAGCGAGGCGGAGGCGGATCCGCACGAGCTGCAGCGCTTCTTGGACGCGCAGGCCCAGTACGACACCGTGCTGGCGGAGCTGCGGGACGGCCAGAAGCGGAGCCACTGGATGTGGTATATCTTCCCGCAGCTGAAGGAGCCTTGTCCGTGGCTGAAAGATGGGGACCTGAGGGATGTGGTCTTAAGGAAAGGAAGGGATACAAGGGTGGATTGACATAGGTTGAGGCACCTCGTCCTCGGGACCCCATCCCTCAGGACCCCATCTTTGAACCACCGACCTTGGGGGCCAAGGTGGAGCACGGGGACGAGGATCAGAGGAGGGCGAGTTGCGACAACGGCAGTTGGCCTTCGCGGGGCCCTCTCGTCGCCACGGCTGGACGCAGCTCGGAAGATTGGGTGCGTTTGGATCCCCTGAGGGGTCCGGGGACCGATGTTGAGCGGCCGTTGTTTCAAGTCACCCTCCTTTGAGAGACAGGGTCGAGGAGGAGTAGGATCGGGAAGCAGAGGAGGAGAGGGAGGGGGGCGGCCGGCTATGCAGAAGGAGCAGGCGGGGGACCAGGGTAAACCCAGGATGCGCCAACGATGCTGCAACACACCATCCCGTCCCAGGTCTCTCTCGCACAGTCCACCACGAGTATTCCCACTGCGGGAAGCGCCCCTTGAATAACGAGCGCCGAGTGGGCCTGCCACTCAGGCGAGACCCCGTTCTGTAAAGGATCCACCCTCCAGTGTTCTAGCTAAAAGAACCGCAAAAAGGTAGGACGATAAAGTTCAAGGACGTGTACAGGAAAAGAAGTTCGATGATAAGGACCGGTGATAATAAGATCGAGAAAGGAAGTTCAAGGAAGTTCGAGGATGAGGTTCAAGGAAGTTCGATGATAAGAACCGCAAGAAAAAATCAGGGAAGTGTGCAGCGACAGCCCCGTTTGGAAACGAAAATGCCCTCCATCCGTGTAAGTGTTGGACAGTAGTTCTGGATCAAAGCGCGTGGAAGTCTGGAAGAGCGCGTTCTGTGGGCGCTTGGAGGGGGGGGGTTGGAACCGGAACCCCCCCCCTTGGATTGAGGGGGGGGTTGAGGGTTCGAACCCCCCCCCCTTCTCCCGTGACGGGGGTTCGAACCCCCCCACACACCCTCCCCCCCTACTTCTCCTCTCTTCCTCTCCTCGGGCCAGCGCCGGCGTCGGCGGCGGCTGGCGGCGGCTGCGGGGAGCATGGATGAAGACGACGATTTCCCTTTTCTGGGCCGGCCGCCGGCGCCTGCGGCGGCTAGCAGCGGCGGGGAGCGTCGACGAGGACGACGGCGACGACGGCGACGACGATGACGACGACGACGACGCTCCGCCACCGCACCTTGTTTTTAGGTCAGAGTCCTAATGAATGCCTCCTGGGGTCTCCTCGGAGGGCTCTCGGGGGCCTCTGAAGGGCATTTGTGAAGCCTCCTGCGCGCCTCTTGGGCGCCTCTTGGGGCCTCTCTGAGGTGGTGGTGGTGGTGGTGGTGGTGATGGGCTGGGGTGGTGGTGGTGGTGGTGGTGGTGGTGGTGGTGGTGGTGGTGGTGGTGGGGTGGTGGGTGGTGGTGTGGTGGTGGTGGTGGTGGTGGTTGTGGTGGTGGTGGTGGTGGTGGTGGTGGTGGATGTGGCGGTGGTGGTGGTGGTGGCGTGGTGGTTGGTGGTGGTGGTGGTTGTTGTGGTTGTGGTGGCAGGTTGTGGTGGTGACGGTGGTGGTGGTGGTGGGTTGTGGTGGTAGTGGTGGTGGTGGTGATTGTGGTGGTGGTTGGTGGTGGTTGTGGTGTGGTAGTTTGTGGTGGTGGTTGGTGGTGGTGGGTTGTGGTGGTGGTGGTGGTGGCGGTGGTGGTGGAGGTTGTGGTGTGGTGGTTTGTGGTGGTGGTGGCTGTGGTGGTGGTGGGTTGTGGAGGTGGTGCTGGGGGTGGTGGTGGCGGTGGTGGTGGTGGTGTGGTGGTTTGTGGTGGCGGTGGTGGTGGTAAGGTGTTCTGGTGGTGAGGTAGTGGTGGTGGCGGTGTTGGTGGTGTGGTGGTTTGCGGTGGTGGTGGTGGTGGTGGTGTGGTGGTTCGTGGTGGTGGTGGTGGTGGTCGGTTGTGCTGCTGGTAGTGGTGGTGGTGGTTGTGGCGGTGGTGGTGGTGGTGTGGTAGAATGTGGTGGTGGTGGTGGGTTGATGTGGGTGTGGTGGGTGGTAGTGGGTTGTTGTGGTGGTGGTGGTGGCTGTGGTGGTTTGTTCTGGTGGTGTGGAAGAATGTGGTGGTGGTGGTGGTAGAGGTGGTGGCGGTGGTCGTGGTGGCGTGGTGGTTTGTGGAGGTGGTTGTGGGTTGTGGCGTTGGTGGTGGTGGTGGTAATGCTGCTGGTGGTGGTGCTGGTGGTGCTGGTGTGATGGATGGTGGGTGGTTGTGGAGATGGTTGTGGTGGTGGTGGTGTGGTGGTTTGTGGTGGTGGCGGTGGTGGTGGTGGGTTGTGGAGGTGGTGGTGGTGGTGGTGGTGGTGGTGGTGGTGGTGGTGGCAGTGGTGGTGATGGTCGTGGGTGGTGGTCTGTTGTGGTTTGTGGAGGTGGTGGCGGTGGTCGTGGTTGGGTTGTTGTGGTGGGTTGTGGTGGTGCTGGTGGTAGTGGCGTTTTCGGTGGTGGTGGTGGTGAAGTTGTTTGTGGTGATGGTGGTGGTGATGGTGGTGCTGGGTTGGGGTGGTTGTGTTGGTGGTGATGGTGGTGGTAATTGTGGCGGTGGTGGTGGTGTGGTGGTTTGTGGTGGTGGTGTGGCCTTCGGGTCTTCCCGCCACCGTGTTTTGGCTTTGGGTCAGGTGGTGGTGGTGGTGGGCAGTGGTGGTGGTTTTAGTGGTGGTGGTTGTGGCGGTGGTTGTGGTGGTGTTGTGGTTGGTTGTGGTGGTGGTTCTTGTGGTGGTGGATATCGCGATTTGTGTTTCCCCTCTGCGGCCTGTCTCTGATCATCGTCGCTGCGTTCCCGCCGTCGGCGCTGCTGGCCGCTGCCAGCGCCGGCGCTGGGGGGGGGCGGGTTTGGAACTCCCCCCGCCCCTTGGGCTCTCTCTGGTCATCGTCGCTGCGTCTGCCGTCGGCGCTGCTGGCCGCCCCCAGCGGTGGCGCCAGTGGGGGGGGTGGGGGGGGGGTGGGGGGTTAGGGGGGAGGGGAGTCCCCCTGGTTCTGATCGGCGGCGCCGAGTAGTGGGGGGGAGGGCCCCTCCCGGTTCGAAACGCGCCGCCGAATGTTCCCAAGGCAAGCGCCCGTGAAACGCGCTCTTTCGGAAGTCTCAAGCGAGAGCTCCATGTTCAAAAGGAGGCGCCCTCCATACGGGCAACTGTTCACGATTTGGCTTCTCGGGAAGTAAAATTGAGGACGGTTCACGAGAAATCAGAAATTTTAAACGAAGCGATGTCAATATTCTTATGTGATGGAAGTTGCTAAATCGCTTTCAAGCATGAATGCGTGTGTCACTGAGGCGATTGCCGCACTATTTCAAAAACGCGTAACCGCTTGAAACAGTACAACGACTGCGCGCGGCGCTACGGCGAGAACCGATTGCGAAAGTCCACCAGCCGTTAAACCCTTTAATTGCTGGATGTGCTAAACAAATGTGCGCGGCGTTCCAACAGGGTCCACTGATTGAAAACAACCTGACCTCCATCCTTGCAGCCGTGGGTGTATCAGCTTCTGCAAATTAATGCGCGAGGAAGTCTCACGCGAAACACCGGGCCCAACCTACGAACATGTCTGGCGGTGCCACGGTGCGGGTCGTTCAGAAGGAAATGGAGGAAAAGGCGACGAAGAAACTTGGTAGTGACGCGGGCCCGCCGTCTCAAGATCTGTTGTTATCTCTCCTTCTCTCTCTCTCTCTCTCTCTCTCTCTCTCTCTCTATATATATATATATATATCTGTTTCCGTCTCTTTCTTTCTCTCTCGTTCTCTCTCCCTCTCTTTTTCTCTGTCTCTCCTTCTGATTATATTGCATAATATACAACTCTTACACCATCTCACGCTACACATACATATATACACACATCGGTGTATGCATCTATGAAAATGTGTGCCTGTACACATGTACGTATGACAGTAGCCATAGATAGTTGTTTGTACCAGTTTGAAGACACGTGTGCGTGTATCGATAGGTATGTGTATACATATGTATAGAGAGAGAGAGAGTGACCTTCGGGCTATCGCGCCTCTGTGCCTTGGTTCCGGGTCAGAGTCCTCAGGGATGTTTCTTGGGGTCTCTTGGGAGCGCAGGGGCCTCTTGGGGGAAGTTTGGGGGATTTCTTGGGAGCCGCCTCTGGGGTCCTTTGGGGAGCTTCTTGGGGGCCTCTTAGGGCTTCCAAAAGGGCCTCTTGGGGAGCTCTTGGCGGCCTCTTGGAGGCGAAGTCTTCCCAGGACCTGGAGCTCGAAATGTCCAGTTGGGTTCCCCGTCCGGGCTCCCTCTTGGAACCGTCTTGAGGGCCTCTTGGGCCGTCTTGGGCGCCTCTTGGGCCATTTTGAAGCCATCTTGGGCCGTTTTGGGACCCTCTTGGAGACCTCTTTGGCCGTCTTGGGGCGATCTTGGGGGCGTTGGAAAGCCGAAAAGGCAAGAACGCCAAAATCCAAAACCTGAGGAAAACAATGATGCTTGCTTTTTGGGAGGCCTCTCGGGGCGTCTTGGGTGAATCTTCGACCGTCTGGCGGCCAACTTGGGCGTCTTGGATCGATCGTTCGACGACTCGGGTCCACTTCGGCCGTTTGGGGGGCCTCTCAGGGTCCTCTTGGCCCGCCTTGGGTCTTTCTTGGCGTCCCAACGCTCAGGCGACACATCCCGGCAGGGCGCAGTAGCGCCCGGGACCGCGTGGGAAATTCGGAGCTTGGGCCCTTTAAGAACCGCAAGCCCTCTACCTGGCAGAGCTGCATGAGTCCTGGGGCACTCCACGACGTGTCGAAGGCACGTTGGCGGGCTTGCATCTACACATACATCTATGCGTATGGTGCTTTTTGTTCCCCAGTTCCCGGTTCCGGGTTCCCGGATTCCCGGTTCTGGGGTTTAGGTCGATTTCGTTGGGCGGCGGGGGTTCCCAGGTTTCCAGGCTCCACGGTTCTTGGTCGATCTCCTTATCGGTCGGTCTCACCCTCGATCTCATTACCCACTTCTATCGATCTCGCGATCGGTTTCATTATACCGGAGAAAACCCCAATTACACCAGAGAAAAACCGCAATCAGTGGAGGGTTGAAGGTTTGAAAAATTGTGATATGGACATTGAGATCAATTGTAGGATCGAGAGTAAGATCGAAAGTGGGATCGATAGTGAGGACGATAGTAAGGCCGATAGTGAAGTCGATTTCGGGAGATCGATAGTGAGACCGATCGTGAGATCGCTCGTGCGATCTATAGGTAGATCGATCGCGAGATCGATAGTCAGATCGATTGTGAGACCGATAGTCCGTCGCCAATCCTTCACGACGCGGCGGGGCTTGGGCATCTGCGCGCCGAGTGGTCCCAGCACCTCCCTCGTGGGGCTCTCCTGGGGGCCCTTGGAGGCACTCTTCGGGCCATCTTGCAGGCCTGTATCGCGAGCAGCACGGCTGGGCTGTTCCGCGTCCTCTGACGAGGCAATGCCACAGGGGGTCACCACTGGGAGGGTCGCCACCTCTTCGAGGAAGACGACCGACGACTCCTGAAGGACCTCCGGGGACCCCCAGGACCTCCCAGAACGCTCGAAGTTGCCCAAGATTGTTCTCCGGCCCTGCTGGACCCTCTGGGTGGCGACGGCCCCTCTTTGCAGCATTGCCCGATCTGGACGCCGCCCGGCCCGAGCCTGGACCCAAAGCCAGACGCCAAGCCCCAGCAGCCCGAGCCCGAGCCGCAGCCCGAGCCCGAGCCCGATCCCGAGCCGCAGCAGCCCGAGCCCGTCGCCGCGCAGCGGCCCGAGCCCGAGGCCTCAGCCCGAGCCCGAGGCCGCGCAGCAGCCCGAGCCCGAGCAGCCGCAGCGCGAGGCCGAAGCCGCAGCCCTCCCCTCGCGCGCGCCCTCCGCGCAGGGCCTGGGCCGCAGCCCCGCGGCGTGGCGCTACGGGGTGGCGTCGCTGGAGGATGGGCCCGCCGCGCCGGGCACGCCGGGGGGCGGGCCCGCGGCGCAGCTGCCCGAATTGAGACGCGACACGTGCGGCTTGTTTGTTTTTTTTCTTTCGTTCCTGGGGTCTATACTCGTGAGGTGTTGCGGTCGCCCTCTTCCTCGACCCCGCAGAACATCCTCAAGCCTCAAGACTCGAATGTCGCACGGTGGGTTCGCGTCGTGTCGACAGGCGACGACCCCGCCGCCGGCGTTCAAAGTTGAACGCCGCCGGCGACCCAGAATCGGTCGACGTTGAACGATCCGGCGTTTCGAAAACGGCCGATCGCGCAAGGTTCTACGTTCTACGATCCCCGCGGTGTCACAAACCGACGCCGAAGGCGGCACGACACGAACCTGCCGCACCGAGTTCGAAGCGTCCAGGTTGAGCACGCTGCGCGTTGGCCTGGCGCGTGCTGACCCACGCCTTGGCGAATGCTTCGCGCCAGAGCAACGTTTTCGGTCTGCGTGTTGAGCTTCGTGTCCGCACGCCACGGGCTGCGTGTGTCGTGCTGGGGCAGCTGAGGCCCGCGGACTCGGGCGCGAGGCCGGCGGGCAGGCCCAGATCCCCGACGATGTGGTTGTTGTCCGCTGGCGTGTTTTGCTTCACGCTCTGAGGGCGCCCCCTCCCCCCTTCTCGATGACGCGTAAGAGTGACCTTTCGCCGGAGTGACCTTCGGTGCGGGCTCATCTGGGTCCCCCGATCGCTCAGCGCGACGCAATAGCGGCTGTCGGCGCGCCTGGATTTGGCCACGTTGCCCCCCCTAATTAGTCCGCGCACCAAAAGTCACTATTACCCAGGGTCACTCTTACGAACAGTCAACCTTCCCTCCCGCCTCTCCTTCCGCCGTTGTGCCCCCTTCGCTCCGCAGCAGCCCTGCCACTTGGCCGCCGCTTGGATCCCAGGCGCCGCCGACCAAGTGCTGTGCTGGCTCTCGGTCTCGGTCCTCGGGTGCCTTTTGCGGGCCCCGGGCCCATCAGTCGTGGGTCTGGGGCGAAAAGCTGTCCCCAGGAGAGGGGTCCGGACCTCTGGGGCCGCGCATTGGCAAAATCAAGCCGGCGGGCTGAAGGGGAGCGAGGAGGAGAAGGAGCATGATGCCTGGCGCTCATGACAGTCATGACAGCAGCGCTCTCCTGACTCGGGCCGCACCGCATGGGGCATGGCACGTCTTCTGTGGCCCCCTCCGAAGCGCAGCTCAAGGGCTGCCTGTGCGGCGCCCCTACGCCGTGGGTCCGGTGGATGCCCCACTCGCTGGTGGCTTAGAGTCGAAACCGATGGCAAGGATGTATGACCTTCCCGAGGGCAACTACGTACCCACGCACCTTTGCTTCTTCGGTCCACCTTCGGATGCTTTCGATGGCCCACCGCGCTCGACAAGTTTCGGCATGAGCGTCCAAGGGGCTTGCATCCTTATCGCGCATCCTTACTACGGTCGAGCATCTGATCAAGAAACCTCCCCCCGAAAAGCTGAGCCAGCGTTTCTTAAGCAACTGCGGGAAAGCTGGCCCAGCTTCTTGAGCACGCTCACCCCGACAGCGTGAACGGCAGAAATTGGCCCAGGTCTTTTTTTAGAAACCTCCGGGATGGTGGGCTTGATTTTGAAACGATAATTTCTTGATCACATGTTCGGCTGCATCGCGCCTCCTCACTATCAGTTGTCCCTGTACGCCGTGGGTCCGGTGGGTGCCTCCAGTGCAGCCGCTGGTTGCGACGATTGGACACCGTTTGCGAAGTCAGAGGTGTGGGACCTCGGCCCTCCGGGCAGCTCACTCGCGGATCTCGGCCTCGTGTGAGGCCGAGATCCGCGAGTGAGCGCTCACACGTAGATGCAAGCGCCTCCGAAGGGCGCTTGCATCTACGTGTGAGCGGGCCTCGGCCCTCCGGGCAGCTCACTCGCGGAGCCTTGCGCTCCCACGGAGCGGCCACTTGCCTGCCCAATCGGTGGTCGTTTGCAGCGGCTGTTGTGCCCAGTGCTGTCTGGCAGCGGGCGCACTCTCAAAAGAATCAAGTCGCCACCTGGGAGCTTCTAGCCGCCACCTGCGCTCTGCATTGGCTCCTGAGCCAGCGGTTGGGGGATGCGGAGGTCGTCCTGTTTTCGTAGACCATCCCCAGAGATCGGATGTCGTGATTTTTTTCAATACGGGGTTCCCGGAAGTCCCGACCCTTTCCCCGGGACCGGTTTTTCGTCCTGAGTTGTTTTTTGACGGTCCCGGGGCCCGGCGAGGGCCCCGAGAGGCCAAAAGCAGCGAAAAATGTCCGTCTAGTTTTTTCAATGCGTTGGATGGATCTCTGGGCCCATCGCTTGCGCCGGCTGCCGTTCCGCTCCGTGGGTCCGGTGGGTGCCCCACCCGCCGGTGGCCTGTCTGTCGGGCCACCGGGGGGGGCGCCTCCTCGGCGGGCCGGCCCCTTGCCTCGGCCTGCCTTCGCGACCGCTCCCCCCCCCATCCTCCCTCCCCCTCCCCCTCCCCCTCCTCTTCCTCCTTCTCCTCCTCCTCCTCCCTCTCCTCCTTCTCCTCCTCCTCCGCCTCCACCTCCTCCTCCTCCTCCTCTTCCTCCTCCTCCTCATCCTCATCCTCATCCTACCCTGCCCCCGAAAGGCTCAACGATTGTCCTCCTATCGGCATGCAGTGGCCAGGGGAAGTCGACGGAAATGCATGCCCGGAGATCCGACGCTCCAACAAAAGTTGGAGCGGGCGGTTTGTGGCTGATTTCGACCTCCGAGGGCCCTCGCAGGGCCTCGGGGCCGCCAAAAAACGAATCCGGGCGCAGAACTGGCCCTAGTGAAGTGGTCCAGACCTCCAGGGCCCGCGCATCGAAAAAGTTGGAACAGCCGGATGTCTGGGTATAAGTCTGATGCAAGTCCACATAAATCGACGCAGGTGCGTATTACCCGACGTAAATCCAGAGAACTCCAGGGAACGGTTGCGCGCTTGCGCCCACGTCCACGCGTGTGTGGCAGTGCACGCCAGCCTCGAGATGATGGAGACGGGTTGCCGCGGGGCCTAGACAGCGGCGAACGTGCCGATGACGAAGCTCATGAACGTCTGCATGGGCACGTCCTGGTGGTGCGCCGTAGGACACGGATTCTCTTACGGCGTTGAAGACGGCGTTCCCGAGAAAGATGCCGGCTGGGCCTCTTGCACCGCCGCCACTGTCAGTGGCGCGATCGCTGGGCGGGAGCTCGAATTCGCACACAGGCCCTACATCCTGACTGAGATTGGCTTCGTATATCCCGTGGATGGGTCTTTACCCAAACATTATCCGTAAGGGCTTCGCCCCCTGCGGCCGGCCCCCTCTCTATCAGAATGGGACATCAGAGTCGCGTCGGTGCGTCTCGGCGCTGCCTTAGCGCATCTGGGAACATCATGCGGGTGCGGATAGGAGCCATCAGCGCATGTTGAGACTTTGGCGTTATCGAAGACGCCTACGGCGAATCACCGCCGCCCCCATGCCGTTTTGGAAGCGCCTGCGTGGCCGAAAGTTGGGTTTGAGCTTGGCCAAGCTATGGGGCCACGCGTGCCCCAAGCGAGTCATCGGACCAGGTGGTGTCCGAGCTTTCGGGCCTTCCTGGGCCATCTTCGGCCTTGGGCCGTCTTGGGCTCTTCTTGGGGCCCTCTTGAGGGCTTTTGCGCTGTCATGGGGCCATCTTGGAGGCCTCTTGGGCGCTCTTGGGCGTGATGAATCAACAGGGGGCGGCGGACCTTGGGCCGTCTTGGAGGCCACTTGCGGGCCATTAGGGCCGCGGTAGGCCATCTGGAGGCCATCTTGGGCCGTCTTGGGTGCATCTTGGGGCCATCTTAGCCGTCTTGGAGGCATCTTGGTGGCAATCTTGGCCGTCTGGGAGGCCATCTTGGGCGCCTTGGAGGCCTCTTGGGCCGTCTTGAGGCCCTCGGCCTCTTGGGTCGTCATGGGGCCATCTTGGAGGGCTCTTGGCTCTTGGGCGCTCTTGGAGCGATGTTGGGGGCCTCTTGGGCCGTCTTGGGCCGCCAGAGAGCTGAAAAGAAGAACATGCCAAAATTCTTCAAACACCTACGGAAAATAACTGATTTGGGCCCTTTCGGGCCTTCCCAGAATACGTCTTGGAGGGCTCTTGGGCCGTCTTGGAGGCCTCTTGCGGGCCTCTTGGGCAGTCTTACACCATCTTGAGGCCATATTGGGCCGTCTTGGGTGCATCTTGGGCCATCTTAGCCGTCTTGGAGGCCATCTTGGCAGTTTTGGAGGCATCTTGGAGGCCGTCTTGGCCGCCTTGGACGCCATCTTTGGTCATCTCGGGGCAACAAAGGCATCGACAGATGGATTTCGAGAAACTTTCGGCAACATTTCGGGTGGCTGGCGGGACGGGCCGAAGCTCCAGGACGAGTTCTTTTGGAAAAAGAACCAAAGCCAAAACCGAAAGGATCTAGCACGCCAGGCACCCCTGTGATGAATCAACAGGGGGCGGCGGATCGAAGACGCCTACTGCGAATCACCGCCGCCCCCTGCCTTTTCGGAAACGCCAATGTGGCCGAAAGTTGGGCTAGAACTTGGCCAAGCTATCGAACCATGAGTTCCCCGAGTCGGTTTGGAAAGCCTTCGGGGAACATGAGAGGGAGAATGAACACCCTTGGGCTTGCTGGGGGCCTTTGGGGGCTTCTTAGGGGCTTCTTTGGCCGTCTTAGGGCTTCGCTGGCCCGTTTGACGCCGTCGGAGGCCGTCTTGGGGGCCTCTCTGAACCGACCTGGGGCCCTCTTGGGGCGCCTCAGGGCCGTCTTGGAGGCCATGTTGGGCGTCTTGGGGGCCTATTGGGCCGTCTTTGGGCCTTCTTGGCGCCCTTTAGGGGGCCTCTTGGGCTGTCATGGGGCCATCTTGGAGGGCTTTTGGGCGCTCTTGGGGCGATGTTTGGGGCCTCTTGGTCCGTCTTGGGCAGTCGGAGAGCTGCAGAGAAGAAGATGCAACAATCCTTCCAAAACCAAGTGAAAATCAATGATTTGGGCACTTTCGGGCCTTCCTGGAGGACGTCTTAGAGGTCTCTTGGGCCGTCTTGGGGGCCTCTTGGGACGTCTTGGGCCATCTTGCGGCCATCTTTGGCCATCTTGGGGCCACAGCGGTGCCCGCGACAGCCGACACCTCAGACTGCCCCCATGTCCCGTCGCTCTTTCTCCCCCTTGCTAGCATCATCCTAACCATCCAACGTATCTGCATATTGTTTCCTCCCCATCATCCTCATGACCCGCATGGCTACCACCCTCCAGTTATGCCTCCTCCTCCTGCTCTTCGCGCTCCTTCTCGTTGGTCCCTTCCTCCTCCTCCTCCTCCTCCTCCTCCTCCTCCTCCTCCTCCTCCTCTTCCTCCTCTTCCTCCTCCTTGTCTTAACAATTATTCAATCTGAATACTACTCTCCCTCTTCCGCCGATGGCGGCCTGAAAGTAGTCGACCCCCCCCGCGTACTGTTTTTAACACACAGGATTCCCGAGAGTTGGGTTTTCGCTTGCGTTTTTTTCAAAATGCTGCTCTCGCTGAGGCGCCGACCTCATTTCTGCTCCCGAATCGTTCCGAATCGTGCTCCCGCTGCAGCGTGGGCCTCATTTTCAAATCGGTGTTTGGCCTCCGTCGTTCAGGATGGCGTTCTCGCCCCAGCGCGGGCCTCTTCCTCGCGCGCCCATCCGCCCGCCACCACCGCGCCGCACCTCCACCACCACCACCACCACCACCACCACAACCACCACCAGCACCACCACCACCACCACCACCAGCACCACCACCACCACCACCACCACCACCACCACCACCACAACACGCACACACGCACGCACGCACGCATGCGCACCACCACCCACTACGCACGCGTGCGCGGAGCCACAGGTCCGCTACGACACGCGTCCGCGGATAAAGAAAATCAGCGCCATGGTAAGGGATGGGAGGGAGGGGTAGGACGTCAGGTATGACGCGAGCGCACCTATATAGTTTGTCCCACCCCCTCCGCCTCTTCCTCGTTATCCCCATCCTCCCTCCCCTCGAGGAGGCCCGCGCCTACCTGCGGCACCCTGTTCTGGGCGATCGCCTGCGCGAGTGCACCCGGCTGGTGCTCGCTGTCCAGGGGAGGAGCGCCCCTGCTCTGGGAAGGTACAGTAGTCCTCGAGCAAGAGGAAGAGGGACGAGGAGAAGGACGAGGCCTTCTTCTTCTTCCTCCTCCTCCTGCTCCTCCTGCTCCTCCTCCTCCTCTCATCCCTTCCTCCTCCTTCATCCCCGCCACCACCACCATCATCAGCGGCAGCAGCAGCAGCATCAACATCTGCATCATCATCATCATCATCATCATCATCATCATCATCATCATCATCATCATCATCATCATCATCATCGTCATCGTCATCGTCATCGTCATCGTCATCGTCATCGTCATCAGCAGCAGCGGCAGCAGCAGCAACATCATCACCCCAATTGGTTACCACCACCATCATTATCGTCATTATCATCAGCAGCAGCAGCATCATCATTATCATCACCAGTATCCTGTCCATTGTATTCATCACCGTCCCCTTCATCACCACCTCCATCCTCGTCGTCAGCATCACTATCCACATCGTTTTGTCGTCGTCATCACCAGCATCAGTATCATTATCATTATGAGCACCTCCGCCACCATCATCATCACCACCATCATCACCATCAGCATCATCACCATCATCAGCATCATCATCGACATCATCATCACCAGCATCATCAGCATCGATATCAGCATCATCAGCATCATCATCAGCATCAACATCATCAGCAGCATCAGCATCAACATCATCAGCAGCAGCATCATCATCAGTATCATCAGCAGCAGCAGCAGCATCATCATCATCATCAGCATCATCATCATCATCATCATCATCATCATCATCATCATCATCATCATCATCATCATCATCATCATCATCATCATCATCGCCGCTATGGCTCGAGTATTTGCTCGTCCCCGCGGCTTGATGGGCGCGCCCGCACCTCCCCCGCCCCTCGGTGCTGCCTCGGGATGGTGCTGGCGGATCGGCTGGACCTCCTGCTCCGAGAGGTCGACGCGGGGACCGCGATCCTCATTGCCGTGCCCCCTGGCGCCGAGGACCTGGGCAAGGTGAAGGTGCGACGGAAACGCTCCGAGCCTCGCACCTGCCTGTCCTCGCGGGCGCTCCTGCCCTCCTCGATGGACTTGCTGGCGCAGCAGGTTGTGCAGCGTGGTGCCGTCAATCGTGCCCGTAAGCACGTGTGCTCGAACCAGCCTGAGGTGTCGTTTTGGCTCCTCCCTCTTCGGCCTGCCGACGGTGCCCCTGGTGGTGGGGGTCCTCCTGCTGCTGGTCGCCCTGGAGACGATGATGACAATCCTTGGCCTGACGATGATGACTGAAGGCCTGGTCGCCGCCGTGGCCATGACATTCTTTGACGCAGTGGTCCGATCCTTGGTGTTGTGGCTGGCCGGGTGGTGGAGGTCGTATTTCGGGCCCTTCCTGGGCCGCCGCCTGATCAAAAGCGACCACGGCAACACCGTCACCCTTCCTTCCGTGCCATCACTTCCTCATGCTGAAGGGCGCGATGCGTGTCTGGATGATGATCGCATATTTCCTGAAGGTCGTGGGCTACTTGAGGGTCGTACACCTCCTGCTGGACAAGATTTCTCCGCTGATCGTAGCGTGCCTGCTGGCCGTCCTGCTGGCGGAGACGTGCAATGCGACGTCTGCTTGCTTCCTGATGGCCATGACGCTCTTAGTGGTCGTGGCGCTCCTTGCGCAAGCATCCTGATGGTCGTCGCTTTCACGCTGGCTGTGAACACCCTGATGACTTTGTTCCTGCTGACGCAGGGGACTCGCATGGTGGTCGTGGCTTACTGGGTGGTCGTGAACATCGTGCTGATACGGTCTTTCTGAACGCCGTGGACTTTCTGATGATCGCGCACCCTTTCTGGCTCAGAGCCCCCTGCTGAGCGCCACGGTCCAGATGGCCTTCAGCTTTCTGCTGTAAGTGGCGTGCCTGACGGTCGTGGCGTTCTTGATGGCCGTCTGTTTCCTGCCGGTCGTGCCGTTCCTGGTGGTCGGAGCGAGCCTGTTTTTTCATGGGCGTCCTGATGGTCGTAACCTTCACGCTGGCCGTGACCTCCCTGGCGACGGTGAGCCTCCTGATGATCGGGACGTGCACGGTAATCGTGGCCTATTGGGTGCGCGCGCGCATCCTGGTGACCGTGGCGTTCATGGAGGTTCTGTTTCCACTGATCGTCGTGACGTCCCTGATGGCCGTGACGGTCCTGACGATCGTGAGTTGCGTATTGGACTCGAATTTCTTGCTGGTCGTAACGTTCCTGGTGGCCGTCAGTTTCCTGCTGGTCGTAATTGTCCTGTTGGTCTTAGCTTTCATGATGATCGTCTGCTACCAGAACGGATGTTCGTCCCCAGATGGTCCCGACGTTTCTGTTGGATTTGGGTTTTCTGAAAGTCGTGGCGCCCTCGCTGGCTGCGTACTACTTGCCGATCGTGAGCCTCCTGATGTTCTTCAAACAGCCGTTCCCACCGGGTTGCGAGGTGGCGGCTGAGGGAACGATCGGGCTGTCGTCCGTGGGTGTTTCGCGTGCCTTCGCCAGGCAAGGCAGTTCCGTGGTGTTTGGGCACGGACATCGTCGACTTGCGGGTTGTATGCGGGTGGCTGTCGACGCGCACCCCCTCGGCCATCGCTTTCTTTGTTTTCATGGAGGTTGGAGGAGTTATCGGGCACGAGGACGCGGAGACGGCGGTGCCGCGCTTGCGACCAGCCCCGCAGCAGAGGGCGCGACGTACGGCGAGGGCTCGACCAACGACCAAAGGTGTGGCACAGGGAGAGGGGGAGGACCCCCCCCCAAAAAAAAAAACAGCATCACTATCATATGTATTCATCATTGTGTTCCTACATGTATATGTTCCTTGTCATCGTTCTCCTCCTTCTCCTCCAGGCCCAAGCCGTAGTCGCAGCCATCTTGTTCACTTTCGGCACAATGTGGCTTCTCGGCTTGAGCCCATGCGCGCCGCGCTCCTGGGCGCGGCGCCCACTCGCATGCGCGGCCGCGAACCTGGCTACGTTCAGGCACTTCCCTATGCACGTGGATCCCCGCCGCTGAACTGCTCCAAAGTGCCGGGCATCTTCACGGGGCTGCCGCTCGCCTCCGCGGACTACCCCTGCCGATGCGGCGCGGGCGCAGGCGACGGCGTCCAAGTTCAACTAGATGGCGAAGTGCCAGGAGGGGCAGAGCACATTCACGGGGCTGACGCCCGCCTACGAGGACTACGCCTTCAGCTACGGCAGCGCGGCCCTTGCGCAGGCAACGGCGTCCGAGATCAGCCATTCGGCGGAGTGCTGCGAGGATCTCCACGGGGCCGCGGATCACCTACGAGGACAGCCTCGTCCGCTACTGCAGCGCGCCCCTGGCGCAGGCGGCCGCGCGCCAGTTCGGCTATACGGCGGAGTGCCACGAGGTCGCAGGCATCTCCACGGGGCCGCGAGGCACTGACGAGGACCACCTTTTCCGCTACGGCAGCGCGCCCCTGGCGCGTGCAAGGGCTTCCAAGCTCAGCTATACCGCGGATAGCTACGAGATGCTGGGCATCTCCGCGGGGCTGCCGTTCGCCTACGAGGACCCCTTGCTCAACTGCAGCACGCCCTTGGCGCTGGCAGCGGCGTCCAAGCTCAGCCATGCGGCGGAATGCTACGAGATGCCAGGTATCTCCACAGGGTTGCGGAACACTTGCGAGGATTACCTCTTCCGCTACAGCAGCGCGTCCCTCGCGCAGGCGGCAGCTTCCGCGCTGAGCCACCCCGTTGTGTGCTACGAGGTGTTGGGCATCTTCGCTGGGTTGCCTTTCGCCGACGCGGTCACGGGCTGGTTCGCCGTCTGCCATAATTGGCGTTCCATTTCGGTGCAAAATGCCGCGCATCTTCTCGGGGTTGTCGTTCGCCTTCGCGGATTGCCCCTGCCGCTGCGGTAGAGCGTCCCTGGCGCAGGCGGCCGCGCCCAAGCTCAACCATAGGGCGGAGTGTTACGAGGTGCAGATCATCTTCACGGGGTTGATTGCCACTTACGAGGGGTACCCTTTCCGCAACGGCCTCCAAGCCCAGCCGCACGGCGGAGTGCTCCGAGGAGCTGGGCATCTCCACAGGTCTGCCGTTCACATACGCACGAGGACAAGGCGCTTCGCTACTGCAGCGCGCCCCTGGCGCAGGCAGTCGCGCCCATGCTCAACTACGCGGCGGAGTGCTACGAAGCGCCAGTCGTGTCCACGAAGCTGCGAGGCACCGACGAGGACCACCCCTTCCGTTACGGCAGCGCGTCCCTGGCGCTGGCGACGGTTTCCAAGCCCAGCCACACGGCGGAGTGCTCCGAGGAGCTGGGCATCTTTATGGAGTTGCCGTTCGCCTACGCGGACTACCCCTCAGGAGTTCGCGATCTACGGCTCGGTCGGACCCGCTAGCGTACCTCTTGGGCAGCGGTCGAGTCTCTCGTGTTCTCCGCCGCTGGCATTGAGCATTGAATTCGGAGGTTCCCACCACTGTATACTGCCTCTGTGAGCTGCCTCCCTCCCTATATGGGAATCAGTTTCTTTTTCGATGCAGCTTCTCGCAGTTTGTTCGTAGAGGTCGTAGACCTCTGGCGTGCCTCCTATCACTGTTCAGCGCTGCCTTCCTTTATGTGTCATTTGTCTGGTGGCCTCAGCCGGTGTCAGTGTCAGTACATCGTGGTTTAACCCTGCCTTTGTGCAGCTGTTGTGGACGGCATTGACCGCCGCGCTCTTTTCTGGGGCTGCTGGCGGTGCATAAGTCTCGTCGCTTACTCGCATGCTGCCTACAGGGTGACGATGGGCCTGTCATCCAGATCTGGTTCCAGATCCTCCTCCTCCTCCTCATGTTCCTCCTTTTTCTCCTCCTCCTCCTCCTCCTCCTCGTCCGTTGCCATTTTGGCTCAAGATCGGGACAGGCCCGTTTTGAGTGAGGCAGCCCTTCTTCCAGGGCCATCCAGCTGTCAAAGGCTGGCGGACACTCCCACCTCCAGTGCGTCTCATGGCTGATGCAGTCCCTGCCGCGCCTGCCAGTACCCAGGAGCGCCATATGCTTGCTGAGCTTGACGAGATGCCCACCTTCCCCGACGGCGAGCGTTCGGGCAAAGGCGAGGGGACGGGCCGCTTCACCCAGCGCAAGCGCCAGGCCCTCGCTTCGTCCAGTGCCGGTGCTCCTGTTCCTTCTCCTCACGACGATGACGATGATGATGGTGACTTTCTTCGGCAGCTGTGCAGGGAGGAGTTTGCCTCAATGCGCGACACCATCGCCACCGAGGTGTCAGAGTCGGTCGCCAAGACCATCACCTCCAATCACAACACGTTGCTCAAGATGCTGTCGTCCATGCAGGGCGAGGTGGCTAAACAATCCAGTGCCATCGAGGGCCAGGTTCAATCGGCGATTGCCCCCAGACTCGACTCGCTCAACAGGCGCCTCCAAGCCCAGCTCGACGAGCAGAAGCGCAGCATCGACGCGCTGGAGGGCAGGGCTGACGAGCAAGACAAATCCATCCAGGACCTTCAAGACCAGCTGGCGGAGCTACGTCGCCAGATGGCCATCGCTGAACAGACTCCCAGGAAGCAGCTGGCTGCTCCCACCTCCTTCGACCGCGAGGAGGACACCACGATCGTCGTTGCCGTCTCGCAGCGACCGACTACCCTGGCATCAGTGGTCTCATCACTGCGCCCGTGGCTCGGCGAGATTGGCTTTGATGATGAACAGTATGAGATCAAGCAGAAAGGCGAGTCCCCGGCCAGGAGGTTCGAGATCTGCTTCTCGGGCTCGGCCACCATCGCCTCGCGCCGTGGCAGCAAGACCACCTCGCTCCTCAAGGGACCCGATGGCTGGAAAGAGTTCCGGGTCGACCCTCCAGGCGCCGAGCGTTGCCGTTTGCACCTGGGCCCCGACAAGTCGCCCAAGCGCATCAAGACCGAGGTTACCCTGCGCAAGGCCAGGGCGATCATCGAGCTGCAGTACCCAGGCAAGCGATTCTACTCCGACCGCGAGCATGGCGTCCTCTCCATTGGGTGGGACAAGATCATGCACGTCAATGTCTTCCACGGCGACACCCCGCCCAAGATCTACTGGGACTCCGCGCAGCTTGCCAAGCACGCCATGGCTATCGACACGCTTCGCAATGCTGTCAAGGAGCTCACGCATCCGTCCGACCCCAGCCAGTGGTGTCTTTAGCGCTGCTGGACTATTTCATCTTCCTCCCCCGCCGCCTGGGTCTGCGGCGCCTACGTTTCGGATCGCTACTTGGAATTCTCGGGCTCTTCTTCAGGCTGGCGGGGATAAGGCCATTCTGAAGAGAAAGTATGTTCTCAGTCTCCGTCCCCTATCCACGGTCATCGCGCTGCAGGAGGTGCACCAGGACCACTTCCAGCTCGACTCGTTCTTCAGATCGATTGCGTCAGGCCTCACGATCCACTCCAGCTTCATCTCTGACGCAGATGACGGGCATCGGCGGGGTGGGGTTGCTGTGGTGCTCCCACCGTTGGCTTGTCAGGGCTTCTCCGCTCCGTCGTCATCCTCTACTGTCCTGGTACCTGGCCGAGCGATGCTAGTCCGTGTTTGGGATGACTGCCGCACGCTCGACATATTCAACATTCACAATCATGGTCTGTCCGCCCAGCAAGTTCGCGAAGTGGCTGCCGCGATACGAGCATCGCAACGTGCTGCTGCCCTCGACCCCGACATGTACACCACCTTTGTCCTCGGGGACTTCAATTTTGCCACGCACGAGGCTCTCGCGCTCGCTGCCCCCGCGGCGGCCGTCCGCAAGCTGTCGAAGTGCCACCACGTGCAGGCGCCCAAGTGGCGCCAGGCCCTCGCCCTCCTGACCGAGATTGCGTGCGAGGACCCCACGCACTACGAGAAGTTCAACGACTCGTGCGCGACGATCGACCGCGTCTTCTGCTCGATCACGGGCTGGCAGCTCTGCCAGCTGTATGTCCAGATTGGCACGCTTGGCTCGCCGGCGGCTGTCTTTGACAAAAAGATCTCTGACCATGCTGCTGTTGTTCTCTCGCTTGCCTGCCGCCCGCCGCGTCCAGTGGAGTCCCGCCCCATTCCCAAACACCTGTTCTCGGAGCCTGGTTTCAAGCGGCGCCTGGAGGGGCTGTGCTCCTGCATCCCGTGGGACTCCATGTCGCCCCCGTTCAAGGTTGAAAAGTACAAGGAGCTTTTGAAGATTTCGGCCGCGGAGACCAGGGACGCCCTCTTTCGGGACAGGCCGCATCACCCGCACACCTGCCTCCTGCTCGCTCGTGCTCTGGCCCGTGTGGTTTGGAGACAAGACCTGCGTATGGCTTCCAGGCTCCAGGACTCCCACCCCCTGGCCATTGACATGATATCGATTACCGACGGGAAGGTCGAGCTCCGCCACCCGCCGTCCTTCCAGGCTTGGGTCGACCAGGTCCAGACTGAGGCTGCTGAGTCCGCGAAGGCTGAACTTGAAGATCGCAGACGGCGTGAAGGTGACCGCGTCCAGATTCGTGCCCAGGTTCGCGCACTTGAACGGCGTGCTCGTCTCTGGTCCCCTCTCAATCGAAGGATATCGCTCTCGGCGGTTATTGCGCCTGATGGCTCTGCGGTCAGCGTTCCATCTGACCGCCTGCGGGTGCTCTCGGAGCACTGGGCCCCTGTCTTCCAGAAAAAGCCGTGGGACGTTGATGCTGCTGCTCCCTACCTGCGCCGCCTTGCCCCTGACCTTCCTGCCGACCTACACCTCCCCCCGCCGTCGAAAAATATGCTACGTCGAGCAATTCGGTCTGCCCAACACTCTGCTCCTGGGCCTGATGCTCTCCCGTATGCTGCGTGGGCGGCGTCCTCTTGGGGGGCTGACATATTATGGGACGCTCTTGGCTGGGTACTCAGGGGCCAGGAGCTTTTTGCGAATACTAGTGACACGATCCAGATTTTTCTGCCCAAAAACGTCACGGACTTGGAGCTCCGCGATGCCAGTTGTTCCCGCTCCCCCGACAAGGTTCGAGTCTTGGGCCTCAGGAACTGTGACCTGAAGCTCATCTCATCCACCGTCAATCGGGCGATCCGACCCGCCCTGGTATCTCTTGCCCCGCCGTGCCAGCGTGGATTCATACCGGGTAGGAATTTCGGCAACAACATCCTCGAGCTCGACGTGTCGAGCCGTCAGATGTCGGTCGTACCTCACGGGTCTACCGATATCCCTGTGCTGTATTCCCTGGACTTCGGCCAGGCCTTCCCGTCCCTGAATCAGGACTTCCTCATTCTCTCCCTTAGGGCCCTCAAGCTGCCCGAAGCATTCGTCTCCTTCGTCACGTTCCTATATGCATCGGTGGAAGGGGTTGTCTCGCACCTAGGTTCGCTAGTGCACATCTTCTGGATCCAGAGCGGCATCATCCAAGGTTGTGCCTTATCGGGCACTCTCTATGCGTTGAGTACGGCTGTCTTCTTGGTCGACCTGGCCTCTCGGGTGGAGGCCGCTGGCCTTGGCCTGGTTCGGGCCTGTGCTGATGACATTGCGGGCACGTTATTGGCCATTCGGCACCTTGTTCATGTGTATCGGGTTATGAAGATGGCCTCGGACATGGCCAACCTCGCCCTGAAGGTCTCGAAATGCAAGATTGTCCCGCTGTCTGACAGGTTCTCGCCCGACCTCTCAGCCACAGTCTCCTTCTGGGTCTCCCATCTGGTCCCCGAGTGGAGCTCGTTCGAGGTGGCTCCCAAGCTGCTCTACCTGGGCCTCTGGCTGGGGCCTGCTGTTGTTCCGTCCACTTCTTGGATTGACCCCGTCGCCAAATTGCGTCTCAGGGCCCAAGCCATCGGGCGGGGAACCACTCCTGCCAGCCTTTCCGCTACACTGTACAATACTCGGGCAGTCACGACCATATCTTACGTTGCCCAATTCTGCTGGCCGCCATCGTCAGCGTTGCAGCCTGAGTTGGCGACGCTCGCGCAGGTGTTCCGCATCCCGCTCGGCACTTTCGCCCTCGACTTCTGGACGCAGATCGCTCAGTGGGGCGGCCCGCGCTGCACGCGGTGGGGGCACCTGGCCGTCGCCACCATCACTCGAGCTGCGCTGCACACGTTCCCCGACTGGGAGAGGCTCCTCCAGCAGTTGCGGAACCACGCGCGCTCCGCCCCGTACGATGCCACCCTGTCCATGCTGGCGACCGGCAAGCCGTACCCGTCCTTCTGGTTGGCCCCCGCCTTTGTGGAGAACTTGGAGCTGGCCGCCGCTGGCACCCCTCCACCTGGCCCGCTGGCCGTCTTTGGTGCTCGTGCTGCCGACGCTGCGCTGGCTGAACTTCGTGAGAGCGGCCGACTTCGTCCTCGACCTCAGAGAGCTGCTCACGAAGCGCTGCGGGCCTTTGCGATGCTGAACAAGCCTATCACTGACCTCTTCGTGCTCCGCCTAAGGAAGTTCGCTGGCAGGTCGGCGGGCCTCCTTTCGAACATCGACTGGGGCGAGTGCAAGTGCGTCCTCGCCCGCTGCCCGTGCTCGTGGGCCATGGCCGTCCTGCGCACTTGGTCTGATGGCTGGATGACTTCGGCCCGTATCATCTCACCTGACGGCCAGAAGCACTGCGTATTTGGTTGTCTAGGCAAACTCGACTCGTTGCGGCACTACGCGAGATGCCCTGTCATGCACCGTGCCCTTCGGCAGGCTCTCGCGAGACCGTTCCCGCTCCCGTGGATGACCAGATGGGGCCTATCTGAACCCTCACTGGCCACCTTCTCGGCGATGGCTGCCGCATACAACATGTACAACGAAGCGAGGCTGGCGCCCGCGTGGCCCCTGCCCCCGTCCCTCCTCCGCAGCTGTGCTCTCGCTGGTGTACGTTCGATGCAGCTCGCGTCACCGCTGAAGTGCTCGGAGATCGACCGCGAGCAGCTCGGCCGACGGGACTACCTCATCCGCAGTTCTTCGTCGTCATCATCCTCGGGGTCGTCTCCACGGCTTACTCCTCCCGTGTCGTCGTCGGACAGCGACACCGCCACCGTCTCCACTGCCATCGCCACGATCCCGTCGGACTCCGACGCTGATGATGAACTTCAGCTTCCAGCGACGCCGCCAGCTACGTGCTCTCCTTCGGCTTCGGCGACCTCCCCTCCACCTTCCTCCGCGCCCCCGTCGATGACGCGTGCCCCATCAACTCTGAGAGCGGCCCCATCTCCATCAATGCCGTTGAGAACTTCACTGATGGCGGCTGCCTGTTCATCAATTTCGACGCCGGCCCCAATTTCGCCCTGCGCTTGTGTGACACCGCCCCCGCCAGTGACGCTGTCGTCTACGGGTTCGTATGCCTCGTCGCCCCCCATCGGCGTTAGATCGCAAGTCCCGTTGTCGTGTTCGGGCTCACTGTCGCCATGTGCTGGTTGCCTCGAGACGCCCCAGCTGGGCCCTGGCGTTAGATCGCAAGACCCGTTGTCGTGTTCGGGCTACACGTCGCCACGTGTTCGCTGCCTCGACGGGGAGCATCTCTCCCGTGGCGTTAGAACGCAAGTCCCGTTGTCGTGTTCGGGCTCGCCGTCGCCACAAGAACGTTGCCGTGATTCGGGACACTGGTCCGTCGGCGTTAGATCGCAAGTCCCGTTGTCGTGTTCGGGCTCGCAGTCGCCACGTGTCGGACGAAATCCTGGGAATTTGGTGGCTGCTCGACGTTCGGCGCGATCTTCGTCCCCGGCGTCCGAGCGCTCCCCAACTCCGATGTCCACGTGCTCTCCGATGACGCGCTTCCCTTCGGTGTCGCCGACGGCTCTGATTTCGCCCTCACCGTTGCCCTCTGAGTGTGCTTCGGAAAATGAGCAGCCTGCTTGATCTTTTCCCCCGCGCACCTCCGTCGCCCTTCTGCTGGCCGCCCAGGCCACGCCTCTTCCTCACCCGCCGCCCTCCGCAGCCGAGCCAGAGCTTGCTGGCCCTCCCCCCACCTGTCCTTCGCTCCCGAGTGCTGCCCCTGCTTCTGCTTGCCCCCCGCCCGCTCCCCCTCCCTCCGCGTTTGCGCCTGTCATGTCTCTCGAGCACGCGCGCATGTCCTCTACCCATCCCGCTGCTGCTCCCCCTCATCCTCTGAATGAAAGACGCTCTTGGATTGAAACTAATCTGCGGCCCCCTGGCCGCGCTTGCCCCGACGTGTCCTACGAGAGCGACGCGACAGGCGGGCCCTCGCTGTATGTGCTGCCGCCGATGTCGTCGGCTGCCGCTGCTCCTCTCGTTTCGTCTCCCTCCATCCGCGCGGCGGATCAGGAGAGGTGCTCCAAGCTGCAGGGCTTGTGAGCAGTGGAGGAAGACGGCTTGGCACGCTGGGCTCCTCCTCCTCCTCGTAATCCTCTGCCCGGCCCCACTCGTTATCATCGGCATCAGCATCATCATCGCCAACATCATCGTCCTCACCACGATCATCGACAACAGCAGCAGCATCATCATCATCATCAGCATCATCATCATCGCCATCCCTCCCTCATCCACCCCCATTCTTATTTCCTGGGATTAAACACCCCCACATCCCCACCTAGCCGGCCGATAGCAACCCCGCCGCCCTAATTGCCATATAGAAACACAAACTCAATGTTGTTGTCGCCAACGTGTCGTCGAGTTGCGAAAAGTGTAGCAGGAATTTCACGGAATGAACATCGCTTGGGTAAACCTAAGCGGGGTGGTCGCGTCCTACCCATCAGAAAACAATACGAAGTCAACGTTATTCGTGTCAACATGGACTTTCTTGTCGTCGACGCTGCGAAAAGTGTAGCAGGAATGGGACGCGGCGCACATCGCGCGCGGACGCCTGGCCAACCCTACGCGGGACCCCCCGTCCTACCTGGCAAAAAAAAAACACTGCAACGTCGACGCTGTTTCTTGCCAACCTGTATTTTCTCTTCGTCGGCGCTGCGAATCGCGCAGCGGGAATGGGACGCGGCGCACATCATTCGGGAACGCCTGCTCGTCAACATTGACTTTCTTGTCGTCGACGGTGCGGCCCGTCGGGTTGAGGAGCTGGGCGGGCGGCAAGTCATAATACCTCAAGCAATTGCGGTTCAAACAAGTGCCTCAGGAGACCCCCAAGAGGTCCAATGTTCCACCCCGGAAGATACATCCAAGAGGCCCTCAGGCGTATGCCAGAATGCTTCCAGGACACCCCGCGAATTCCCAAGAGGCAGTATCATCTTCCTCTTCAGTTTCTCTTTCTCTCCCTCCTCCTCCTCCTTCTCCTCCTCTTCCTCCTCCTCCTCCTCCTCCTCCTCCTCCTCCTCCTCCTCCTCCTCCTCCTCCTCCTCCTCCTCCTCCTCCTCCTCCTCCTCCTCCTCCTCCCCCTCCTCCATGCGCGGCAGGGGCGAAACGATTGGCGGCGCAACACGCGTGGCTGGAACGAGACGCGGCGCACTTCGCGCGCGGGACATGTTGTCGCCGACGATGCAACATGAGAGGCCGGAGCGGGGCGCGGCGTACATCGCGTTCGGTTTTATTTCTCGTCGACGTTGCTCAATACGCGGCAGGAATAGGACGCAGTTCATGTCGCGCGCTGAACGTTTAGCCGCCCGCGATATAAGATGAGCGACAGGCGTCGGACGCGACGCACATGCTTCTTATGTTGCGGGCGGGCGGGTGGGAGTGGGCGGAGCCCTCTGGCTCGTTCGAGCTGGCTAACTTGACCCCACCCCCATCCTTCCGCCCCCCCACCCACCCCTTCACGAGGGGGGTGGAGAGGGGAGGAGGGGGATCGAGACCCGAGGGTCGAGGATAGACGGTGGACGCGTTTGTCCATCCCTCTTGGGGCCTCTCGGCGGCGTCTCGGCGCCGCGGCCGGGTCCGCCGTCCAGGCTTGGGCGGCCAGGACTTGCCCCGACATGGGTGCAGGAACCGACGCTTGAGAGGAGGGAAACGACAAGGGCTTTGACATGATCGCGTCGAAAAAAAATCAGGACGGGACGTTTTTGGTCGTTTTCGGCCTCGGGGGCCCTCGCCAGGCTTCGGGACCGTCGAAAAACGGCAAAAATATTCCGGGCGAAAACCCAGCTCTAGGGAAGTGGTCCAGACCTCTGGGGCCCACGCATCGACAAAAATTGGAGCAGCCGGATGTCTGACTACCTTGTTGGGGCTTGCAGATATAATACTCTATGCTCTCGTGGGCGTCTCCAATTCTTCCACCGCAGAGTCTGTACTCAAGTGTTGTTATTGGTTTCTCGATGTTATCGTGCACATTCTCATTTATCCTGCCAGGAAAACGCAACAGCCTCGTCGCTTATGTTTGCCGAACGCGAAGAGGACCAGAGTGAAGCGAAGATGCATCAGCGATTTTGCAAACACCCTTCCGTCCCAAGTCTCCCATTCAGAAGTCGTTGCAAGTCTTCCAATACGTTGCATGAGCCGCCGTTTCAAAGACCAGCACCCCGGTTTGACAAGGAGTTGCAACGCATTTTTCCAGCGAGCCAGCATGAAAGCGAACAGGTATTATCGAGGTGTGCACGAGGTCAACCTTTTGCAAAAGGACCGTTCCACCGTTGTGTACTTAGTGCACATAGTTGCATTTCTGTCCATGAGGTGTGGGGAAGCTTCGAACGAAAACCCCAGCTTCAAGACGAATGGTCACGACCCGCGCAGTTGTCACATATGTTCAAGCTTTTGTTTTACAGTTTTAGAGAAGTCCTGGGCGAGGACCATGTTTTGCTCAGGAACAGTCTTCCGACCATTTTGCAAACGTTTGAAATGAATGTATGAGAAGCTTGGACGAGAGTCCCAGTTTGAAAAAGACCCGACCTCCATGTTTGCACATGTTGCCAACGTTTGTGGTGATTGTGCGAGGCGTTGGATCGAGAGACCCAGCTTTTGAAAACCACCACCTCTTCCACCCCTGCTACGACTGCAGGATTTGAGGTCCAATGTGCCCGACATTGGGGTTAGAGGTATATTTTGACAATGGCCTCTTTCCCATCCGTGCCACTTCTGCAGACTTTGCAGACGATTGTGTACGTCGCTGACACGAGAGCCTTATCTTGAAAAGGAAACACCCTACATACAAGTGCACGCGGCGCCAAGGCGGGAGCACCATCTTAACAACGCCCCCCAGTCCATGTAAGCGTTGTGCGTTTGTACGACGAATGTGCGCGGTGGTGGGGCCAGGTGCCCTTAATGAACACCACCACTCCTCCATCGTTGCAAGTGTTGTTGGGTTTGAAGGCAAATGTGCGTTGCGCTGAGACGACAGGCCAAGTTTCCCCTCGACCTCCCTTACATCCGCGGGCCACATGTTAAAACCGTCCCACCAGCCTTGTAACGGTTACGCGTAGTTGGGACGAATGTGCGAGGCGCGAGGGGTAGAGACCGCTTCTGGGGGAAACAACCAACCTTCAAGCATTGTTGTTGTTGATAGTAAAGGCGAAGGTGTACCGCGCGTTGGAAAATAATTGCGTTCCATCTTTGTAATGGTTCACGTTTAAGTCGGATGTGTGCCGCGCCCAGGCGAGAGCTCCATTTTGAAAACGACCATGTGTTGCCGATGCTGAAGGCGAGTACGCACGGAACTACAGTCGGGGCGTTGAAAAGGGAACCCTTTTCGTTGGGGAGGGGTTCGGTGTTCCTTGATTGTTTTACAGGTTGTCTCAGATGCTTCTTACGTTCCCGGTAGGAAGTCGAAGTCTAACTTAAGAAAAATCGGGGCCTCGTTCATTATTTAGGTTTCCCTAGGTCAACACCCCGACGGTCAGGCAAGTGACCCACATTGAAAACAACCGAACTTCCGTCCATGTCATTTGTTTCAGACGAACGTGCACGGCGTTGGTGCGGAAGCCCCATTATGGAAACATCCCCTTTCCGCCCGTGTAACCCTTTTCAAAGTTCAAGTCCAGTGTTCCTGATTGGTAAGGGAATTTATGGCGAAGCGCCTGGCTACATCCGCATCGAACTCATCGTTGGAACGCATTGTGGGGCGCGCCCAGGGGTCGATTGTGAGGGCGGAAGAGGGTGGAGGGAGGGAGGAGGAAGAGATTGGAGAGATGAAGAGCGATGAAGGAGCAGGGTTCTCATTATTCCCGCCGTCCGCCCATCCCTCTGCATCATTATGTTGCGTCTCCTTCTCTCGATCCTCGACCACATTCCTTTATGTTGCGTCTCCTTCTCTCGATCCTCGACCATATTCCTGCCTGATCTCATGCTGACACAAACGCTTGGAACACATGCATAAAAGCGGACATGGTTGTGCCGATGTTGTGTTCACGGTAAATGTGCGGTCTGAGCATCATGTTCACAATATAGACATTATCATATTGGAGGACGGCGGCCGAGATCTTCGGATGGCCAGACGACGTCAAGTTGAAGTCGCAGCTCTTTTTACGTGTGCGGGTGCTTGTTGTGTCCCTTGGTGAAGCCATTATGCCGGTGCCACTCTGACAGGGCTACTTGTTCTGGGCATCGGTACTCGTCCTTCCCCTTGTTGTTCTCCTCTTCGTTCTCGTCCTCCCGCTCGCTCTTCTCTTCGCCCTCATCGTCCTCTTGATCATCCTGTCCGTTCTCCCCCTCCTGCTCTTCTTGCTCCCTGTCTGCTTTTGGTGGGTTTGGGCGTCAGCTCGACACAGTCGTTGGTTCTTGGCCTGACGTCACTGCGATGGGCACCAGGCAGCTCGCACGTGGAGCATCGCCCACACGCCAAATCCAGGAGAGATCGAGAGCTCAGCGGCCGGGTCGTGGCCTTACGCATTGGACAACAAAGTGTTCGCTTGAGGATGATGATACGCAGCCGCTTCGGGCCCTCTTGGGGGTGTCGCTTGGGGCCCCTTTGGGGCCTCCTTGGGGGCCTCCTGGGGGCCTCCCTGGGGGCGTAGAGGATCGAGGGAAGGACCCGAGGGCACGCCCGCCACCGTGCCTCCGTGCCCAGAGGCACGGTGGCGGCACGGTGTGCGTCTGCTGCCGCCCGCTTGGGCCTCTCGGCGGGCCGCGCGCGTGCCACGCCGCTGGAGGCGCGCCGAGCTTCGAGGGCGCCAGGTTCTGCGCAGGGGCCTGGAGTGGATCGGCGGCGAGCGATGGGGGGGGGGAGTGAGAAGGAGAAGGGCCTTCTCAGAAGACGGCGGGGCTCTCTCAGGAGCCCTTCGGCCTTCTGAGAAGCGTTATGCGCCTTCCGGGGGAGGCTTAGAAAGCTTCTCGGAAGGCTGGGGGCGTTCGAGGCGCCTGAGAAGGCCCGCCCCTTCCCCTTCCCCCCGGGCTCGCCGCCGAGTGAATGCAACAGAGGTGCTTGTCTGAGTTGCGGAAGTCCTGATGTGTTTCCTCAATCGCGTTTCGCTAGAGCTGTATTGAGGTTTCGAAAATAAAAAATACGAAGAGTCCCGCAGGGGCAACGGGATGCCCGGGGACGCACGCCGAGATCGTCCTGTCCGACAGCCGTTTCGCTTGATATGTCCGCACAGATTATTCAGGAATCGCGCTCTCCGACGTTCCGACAAAATTGGAGCAGGCGGTTTGGGGCTGATTTCGGCCTCCCGGGAGCCCTCGCCGGGCCTCGGGACTGTCAAGAAACGACTCGGGACGAAAAAACGGCCCCAGGGAAGTGGTCCAGACCTCTGGGGCCCACGCATCGTTTGCTGCCATTAGAGCGTTGTGCTGAGATCATTTTAACTAGTTCCTGTCCGGCCGTTCCCAGAACATGTTGATCGCGACTCAATTTTGATTGGTTTTGGTCGCATCCGTCAGTATGCCGCTTTATTTTCGGCCGCCTTGTGCGCAACCTATGGCGCAACCCATGGCATATCATCGGCTGCCGATTGCGCAACCGATGGCGCAACGGTAGGCCGTTTTTTTTCCTCAACCGCGAAATGCGCAACCGATGGCGTAACCGAATGGCAGGCCGCTCAGTTCTCGGTCTACGAGTGCGTAACTTCTGCTGCAACCTATGGCGCAACCCATGGATGGCGACACCAGTGGCACAACCCATGGCGCATTCTACGGATCGCCTTATCCGACCACAGCGAAAAACTTGCCGTCGTGATTTTGTTCACAGCGCGAGGGCATCTGGGCAGTTCCCTTAAGTCTGGTGTTGGATCGCGCAATGTGTGGCGCCATCCTCAGACAGCACAATACATGGCGCAACGGGGCAACCCGTGGAGGGCGCAACCCGTGGATGAAGTGTGGCAGAACCCATGCATCGCGCAGCCTAAGGCGCAACCGGTGGATGGCGCAACCCCAGGTGCAAGCCACCTCCTCCTCCTCCTCCTCCTCCTCCTCCTCCTCCTCCTCATCTGGGCCAAAGTTTTGAGGCATCGTGGCCAATCTCGGAGCTCTTGGAGCCTTACTGGGCAATCCTGTGCGATATTGGCGGCATATGGAGTCCTTTTGGAGGCATCGTACGTCAATATCGGGCCATATTTTCAGCTCTGGGGGCCGTCTTGACGCGATCTTGGGACACCCAAGAGGCCGAACATGGGATATGCAAAGAGCGTTGACAAGCAAGATTGTCCAATGGTTGTTGCATTCGGTGGCGTATCGGCGTTCTCGTGGCCCATCTTAAAGGCATCGTGGGGCCATGCCAGGCATTGTTGGGCTCTTGAGGCCCTCTTCGGAGCCTCTTGGGGCCGTCCTGGAGGCATGTCTGGTCCAGCGGCCAGCAGTCAGAGGGCCCCCCCCAAGGTGCTTTTGTCGCTGGTTGCGCGATCCCCCCCCACACGGTAGACCATAGAATTACGGTGGGACCCGAGAGACAAAAGAGGTACATAGTTTGGCGAAGGACCCTTTCAAAGCAGATGCGAGCAGCGCAAGATATACCCTCTTCTCACAGGCAATGCGCCGCGAATTGGGATGAGCCCCCCCCCTGGAGCCTCGAAGCGTGCGAGAGATGTGCCGAGATTTGCTGGGGGGGCGCATGCAACACCACCCCCTGGAGGCTTCGGTGGAGCTGCCTATGAGACCACACAGCGTTTGAGAGGCGTGCCGAAGTGGTCCGGGGGCGCACGCCGGGCGACGGCTGGTTTCGCCGACGGCTGGTGTCGCTGGCGCTGGTTTCGCCGACCTGCCTGCTGGCTTCGCCGACGCCTGGTTTCGCCAACCCGCCCGTCGCCGCAGTCGTCGTTCGCTATCGTCGTTCGCTATCGTCGTTCGCCGTCGTCGTCGTCGTCTTCGTCGTCGTCGTGGTCGTCGTCGTCGTCGTCGCCGTTGTCGTCGTGGTCGTGGTCGTGGTCGTCGTCGTGGTCCTCGTCCTCGTCCACATCCTCGTCCTCGTCCTCGTCCTCGTCGTCGTCGTCATCGTCCTCGTCCTCCTCCTCGTCGTTCGGGTCCAGTACGCTCGCGTGCCGGCAAGCCCCCCCGCCCGCTTTACTGCCCCGCCCGCCCGACCCGCTCTTTAGGTCCCGACCACCCAACCCGCCCGTTAGATTTCCGCCTGCCCGACTCGCGTGTCATTAGGATGCCGCCCGCCCGACCCGCCCGCCAGGGTCCCGCCCGACCCGCACTTCAGGGTCCCGCCCGGCCGACCCGCCCGTTAGGGTCCGGGCCGCGCGACCCGCCCGCTAGGGTCCCGCCCGACCCGCACGTTGGGGTCCCGCCCGCCCGACCCGCCCGTTAGGGTCCCGCCCGTTGGCGTGCTGGCAAGCCCGCCCGCTTTGATGCTCCACCCGCCCGACCCGCCCGTTATCAGGATTCCGCCCGCCCGACCCGCCCGTTAGGGTCCAACCCGCCCGACCCGCCCATTTGGGTCCAGTACGCTCGCGCACTGGCAAGCCCGCCCGCTCGCTTTAATGTCCCGCCCGCCCGACCCGCTTGTTTGGGTCCTGCCCGCCCGACCCGCCCGTTAGGGTCCCGAACGCCCGACCCGCCCGTTAGGGTCCCGACCGGTTGACCGTCCCGTTAGGATCCCTTTCGTTTGCGTTCTGGCAAACCCGCCCCCTGACTTTCATGTCTCGCCCGCCCGACCCGTCCGTTTGGGCCCCCCCGCCCGACCCGCCCGTTAGGGCCCCGGCCGTCCACATTCTAGCAAGCCCGCCCGCTTTCATGTCCCACCCGCCCGACCGTCCTGTTAGGGCCGGGGCCCCCCCGCCCGAACCGCCCGTTGGGGTCCCGCTGGCCGACCCGCCCACCCGACCCGCGCGAAGGTCCCGCCAGTTAGGGGCCCGCCCGACGACGACGACGACGACGACGACGACGACGACGACGACGACGACGACGCTGGCGCTGGCGCCGGAGCCGGCGCCGGCGCCGGCGGCGGCGACGTCGACGATAACGGCAACCACAACGACGACGACGCCGGTATACCAGCGCCCCGGCGAACCGGCGAACCAGCCGTCGGCGAAACTTGCCTTTGCGAAGCCAGCCCCAGCGAAACCAGCCCCAGCGAAATCAGCCGCCAGCGAAACCAGCCCAGCGAAACCAGCGCCGGCGAGACCACCCCCATGCCGCATGCGGCAACAACCTGGGGGCTCCGGTAGAGCTCCCCTGGGGCCAAGAAACATTGAGGTATTTGCCGAAATGGATGGGGAACCGAATGCGGCACCACCCCGTGGGGGCTTCGGAAGAGCTCCCCATGTGACACGACACGTGCGAGGGGTTTGCAGAAATGTCTAGGGAAACCACATGCGGCGCCACCCCTTGGGGGCTTCGGTGGAGCTCCCTGCGGGGCCACGACACGTATGAGGCGTGTGCCGGGGGGCACATGCGGCAACCACCTGGAGGTTCTGGCGGAGGTCCCATTGGGACCCAGAAACGTTCAGGTGTTTGCCGAAATGGTCGGGGGACCGAATGCGGCACCACCCCGTGGGGGCTTCGGTGTAGCCTCGCATGGGACACGACACGTGTGAGAGGTGTGCAGAAATGTCTGGGAGAACCACGTGCGGCACCACCCCTTGGGGGCTTCGGCGGAGCTTTCTGTGAGGTTACGGAACATGTGAGGGTGTGCCGAAGTGGTCCGGGTGTCGCGTACATCGCCACCCCCACAGGGTTTCGGTGGAGCTCCTTATGGGGCCACGAAGAGGTGTGCGGAAATGGCCAGGGGGCGCATGCGGCAACCACCTGGAAGCTCCGGTGGAGCTCCCTTTGGGGCCACGAAACGTGTAAGGGTGTGCCGAAACGGTCGCGGGGCCGCGTGCCGCACCACATCCTGGGGGCTTTGGTGGAGCTCCCTATGGGCCACGGGGCGTGTGAGGTGTGTGCAGAAGTGGCTGGGGGACTGCGTACGGCACCAGCCCCTGGGGGCTTCGGTGGAGCTCCCAATTGGGCAACGAATGAGTGAGGGTGTGCCAGAATTGTCGGGAGGCCGCATGCGGCACCACACCCTGCGGGTTTCGATGGAGCTCCCTGCGGGGTCACCACACGTGTGAGGGTTTTGCCGGGATGGTCGGGTAACCCGCATGCGGCCCCATCCCCAGGGGCCTCGGTGGAATTCCTTCTGGGGCGGCGAAGCGCGTGAGCGGTTCGGCGACACGGTGATCAGGATGATCATGGTGATGATGACGACTAGGTGATAATGATGATGATGATGATGATGCTGATGCTGATGCTGATGCTGATGCTGATGCTGATGATGATGATGATGATCATGATCATGATCATCATCATCATCATCATCATCATCATGATGATCATGATGATCATGATGATCATGATGATCATGATGATCATGATGATCATGATGATCATGATGATCATGATGATCATGATGATGGTGATGATGGTGATGATGGTGATGATGATGATCATGTTGGTGACGATGATGATGGTTATGCTGATGACGACGATGATGATGATGACGATGATGATGATGATCATGATGATGATGCTGATGACGATGATGATGATGATGATGATGATGATGATGACGACGATAACGACGATGACGATGAGGATGACGATGACGATATTGTTGATTATGATGTTGATGCTGATGCTGATGCTGATGATGATGATGCTGATGATGATGATGATGATGATGACGCTGATGCTGATGCTGATGATGATGATGATGATGATGATGATGATGATGAGGAGGAGGAGGAGGAGGAGGAGGAGGGTGATGAGGAGGGTGAAGGCGATGACGATGAGCATGATGCTGCTGAGATGGATGAGAGGTGGATCGGGGCGAGGAGGAGAAGGGAGACGAACGCGGGCGCACTGTTGATTCAAAGCGAGGGCCCAGCGCCACAGGATGGTTGGGAAGATCAGGCGGCACAAAGAGCACAAGACACCAGTCCAGCAGGTTTCACAGCGTTGTGCTCCCCATTGGGCCTGAGGGTATGGAGTCACCACTGCGCTGTCGCTGAGCTGCATAGGGTGAAGCATAGCTGATCTGCGGAGCTGAAATCGTGGGATGCAAGCGGGTTGACCTGCCGCGGGGTGACGTTATGCCCGGTGCACTCGCCCGAGCCACGCGGAGCCCACCGATAGCATGACAGCCAGGACGTCTGAGCGTGTGCATGGCGTCTGTTCGTATTGTTGCCCCTTGCCAATGGCCGCCTTTCCTCCCCTGCCGTCGCTTGATCCTGCTAACACTCTCCTCCGCCTCCTCCTCATCTCCCTCCTCATCATCAGCATCATCATCATCATTATCAGCAGCAGCATCATCAGCATCATCAGCAGCATCATCATCCTCATCATCGTCACCACCATCAGCATCATTATCATCAGCTCATGTTTCCTGCCGCCTCTGTCAGCTGCTGATGATCATGATCATGATCATCATCAGCAGCAGCATCATCAGCATCATCATCATTATCATCAGAGTCAGCATCATCATAATAAGAATCGGCATCATCATCATCGTCAGAGTCATCATCAGCAGCACCATCATCATCGTCATTCATGTTTCCTGCCGCCTCTGTCAGCTGCAGATGCCCGCTGCCGTTCACCAGGTCATGCATGACGCTCTTCGCGCTGGCAGAGAGCGGCGGAGGCCCCCTGCTGCCCAGTATGGCCTTACGTTTCGTCATGTGCCCCCTGCTTCTGAACATCGCTCCCTCTGAGCGCTGGCAGTGCTCAGCTTTCGATCTCCTCATCACCCCCCGCCGCCTTCATCACCCCACACCTCCTGCATTTAGCCACTGTGCCCAGGAGTCCCCGGAGTCCTCTAGGCCAGTTCGTAAAGTCGGACCGCGGTATGAGATCGAGGTCGGTGCGAGGAGGGTACCCTAATGTTCTTCGTGTTTGCTTGACGTTCTTGTGCATTCGTGGGAGGGTACCCTTGCATTTTCTGTGTGCTTGGGCTGGCGGAGCGCCATGCTCTTGGAGGATGGCCAGGTCTTTCAAGGCACAGTGCTGGGGCTGCGGCGGGCTCATCACGAGCTCGTCCGAGCCTGCGCCCGGTCGCCCCTGGCGTCTCCACCGACGCGCCGGCTCCCCCACCCCCGCCCCGCCTTCCCTCCCTCCGTGTGCCCCTTGCTCGCCATAGCCAGCCG